TATAGTGTGTAGTGTGTGTGTGTGTGTGTGTGTGTGTGTGTGTGTGTGTGTGTGTGTGTGTGTGTGTGTGTGTGTGTGTGCGTGTGCGTGTGTGTGTATTTATGTCAACATTTTCAATAAAATAACTGTAGCAACAAAAAACATTATTTAAAAACTTTATTTAAAAAAGTGTAAAAGTTTTTGAACACTAGTGCATGTTGTGCGATGGTTGGTTCCTTATCTTTCTATATAATAAATTTACCAAAGTTGACATATGAAAATAAAGCAAGTTCTATTTTGCGTATTATTCGTGTTTCGTGATTCGTAATTTTCTATTCGTATAAGATTTATCATTTGTTAATATGGATTTTCTACGCTATTCACGATTCATCATTCATCATTTGATTTACGATTCACGATTCACATTATAATTTACGATAGCCTTATTGCGAGCTATGAGTAAATATGAATTTTAATACATAATATAACATTATATACATATTAATACGAATAATTTGTGATTTGCGTCCTTTAATTTTGTAAAAATTCACTCTAAAGATGAATCGGCGGGAATAATGATAACGAATTCGACGAATTTGGTCTTTCACATTATTCATTTCATACAAATGAGTTCATACAAAAGCGAACTGCGAATCACGAAATAATTGCACATAGAAAAAATAATATTGATGAAATAATGAGTCAATAACATCAGGTATAATTTTGTTAATTTAATAACAAATAATTTTGTTAATTTAATAATAATTAATATTAAGAAAAGAAAAATATTTGCATTTATTTTAATAATATTATTATTCAATCAACAAAGGGAAGAAAAGTTTAATATCTAATTACATATAATTATATATAATTTTGTATATCTAATTATGTATGGATTTTGACCTGATCTAATTATATATAAATAAAATTGTTTATGATTATATATGAACAAATCAAATTATGCATACTTATGACAACAAAATTACGATTGCGTTCCGATATTGACTGCTAGTACTGAAAATCTATAATATATGTGACACCCCTTACAGAAAATAAATAAAAAAAATGAAAAAATGAAAAAAATGGGAGAAAGTGATGAAACATTTTTTGTTTCATATCATCGTATGTTTCTAAAATCGGTCATCCATCCATTTGGAGATCCTGCTCGATGTCGCTTAATTTTGGTATTGAGATGAAACCTGCTACTGAAATGAGCAGGCTTCATCCCAATACCAAGGTGTATCCGTGCACATAGCGTACAAAAACGCATATTTGCATATGTATTTTATATTTCTATGAATACATCAGTTTTAATGATTATTATGGTAAGAAAGATTATGCTAAGAAATGTGCATTATATATATTAAATATATGTTTTTTAAACATTAGCTTTAATATGAGAAACATGATTCATTTATATTCATACATATTAGATTAGTGCAAAAATAAATTGTAGTTTTTAATAATCAATTTTAGAATAGTATCTCGGCTCAGAAAAAATTATTAATCGAATTAAAATTATTAGAATTTATACATTTTTGCCAAGAACAAATCTATACATTTTTTACAAGAAATAAATCTATTTATTCTGGCATAGAATTCTAGAATCCTATAATCCTGATAAATTCTTCGAAGGCATTTTAAATTGTTACTCGGTTGTTGAAAATTTTCTCCTGCAGAAAGTTGTTGATATACTTGAAAAAAATGTTCAAGTGAAATCGGTCGAAAAGGGATCTGATGAACAAGATGAGTAAAAGAATTTCATAACTCAGTTCATTCAATTTTCGCAGATTAATTTTCGAGATATGCAATCAGAAATTATTATGAAAAAGAATTGATTCTTTCTAAATAATCAATGTTGGATGTAAACATTGCAATTCTCGATGCATTTTGTCAACTTTTTGGAATATTTCTCTGCTATGATGGTTTTTTTTTAGAAATTCAAAAAAATATCTAACTATCCAAAAAATAGATTCCACTTGTCGATCACTAAACACTGATCATAACTTTTTTTTATACAATTTTGGTTTAATGAAATGGTGCTTCATTTTGATCCACTGTGCGGAACATTGTCGGTTGTCGTATATAATCCATTTCTCATTACATAATGCGATCAAGAAATAGATCGTTTGAATGAAAAAAGCACAATCTTCGTAACGGCGAATCTTTTTGATTTTCATTCTCATATGTCACTCATTTGTTGAGGACATTTTCCAATTTGATACAAATGTCAACAATTGAATACTTAATAATTGTTGAATATTTAATAATTACAAAAGGATGTCTGCGACCCTTATCATTTTCAAGGCTCTCATCTTCATTATAAAATTCATCAATGTTGAGCTGTATGTTTGTTAATGGTTCCTTGATTAAATAATATTGATATTGCGAACAGTGTCTATAGCTTAATTTTCCATTTTAAAATCATATAATAAAATCGCACAAATTTGTTTTCTCTATTTTAATTTGATAGCCTAATATAACCAACGAATAAACAGTGAAAGCGAAATCATTAATCATAAAAAAGCAGAATGAAATTAGCGCTTGAAAATAATATATAACCTAAACATAGTTACGTATAGATTTACTTTAATATAAACATCAAAATTTAAAATAATAAAAACTACAATTACTTTTGCATCAACCAGTCTAATATAGATAAAGTTCAAAAAATAGGCTAAAAAGTAAAAATTATATTTATTTCAAACATATATGAATATTTACAGTCATAGTAATTATTTCTTTACAAAAATTTTATTTTTTCCAGAGAGTGTAATAAGTATTTTTTAAAAATATGTACTTGTTTTTTTAAAAAGAAAATAACAATTTCGGAATAATATATTCGTTTAAAAAAAAATGCAATTTATAAAGTAAATGAGAATTATTCATTTATTTTTATATGTAACATTATTTATGGATACATGAAAAATATTTAGTATTTCATTTTATATTACATTTAGAATAATACAATTATTTAATCGACTTTTCTTACAATATTAATTGTTGCAACATATTATTTTATGTTAAACATTTTTTTGTCAAGCAAAAAAACAGAATCTTTTTTATCTTTTATATAATATTTAAAAAAAAACATTAATAATTTCGAGAAATTATATAATTAATTATATGATTAATTATTAATTTCGAGAAATTATATAATCTATTTAATAAAAATAATCATACATTTTCAATATTTCATAAACGGACATCTTTGAAATAATTAATTAGCTTTGTTGAAATAAAAAATTATTATAATATTTAAAATAATTAAGATGATTTTAAAAATTTACTAGAACATAACTTTTCTTATCTGTCATAATATGAGTATATACATGACAATTTGAAAGATCTAGCTGAGATGTGAACCTCATTCCTGTGTATCTTTTATCTCAAACGCACTCAAGTGACGGCAATAACATATAATTATCATTTTAGTATATAAAAAGAATACATTTTTTATTTATTTGTAATAACATGCTTCATTTTGCCAAAAATGGTGTTAATTCCATTAACATTTATAGATATTATTGTATTAATACTATATTTTATATCGCTTATTATTACTCAATTAACCCCATGGAATCGTAATCTTCAAACGTGTCGTAAGAAAAAAGTTTTTTAACATATTTATAATTATTAAATGCAATTTCAAAACAACAGTTCCAAACGATACACGATTTACAAAGAAGAAATCTATAGCAAAGTTGCAATTGATGTTTTAGAGCTAATGTAAACGAGGGATTTACTCGTGTTTTACAAATTTTGCTATTTTTTTATTTGTTTGTGCTTTCCTTCAAATCGCATATACTTTAAAGGTCCATAATTTTTCATAATTCTTGGATGATACAATAAGTTGTGGTCTTTAGTTTTTAATGAATTAGGAAATTATTTTATATGTAAAGCAAGATATTCAGAAATAAGTGTTTTTAATAAATCAATAGTTTGCATATTTAAAGTATGTAGTATTACAATACATAATATTTGTCGTAAAAATAAATATAATTCTCAGATTTTATTATTAAAAGGAACAAGATCTCCAATAAATAAGCTAAGATTAAAAACCAAATAGTTCATTTCTAAAGCTGATATAATTATGACTTCTTTTTATATAGAATCTGACATTATCAGAGGAATGATATCACTAGTAGTTTATAACATTTTCATTAAAAAAAATTCAATTAAAGAATCTAATTTTTTCTTGAAAAACTTGTAATGTTAACATCTTCTTATTAATGCATTTTCTATACAATGACTCGTAAACTTTCTATGGTTTTTACCATATTTACCATATTTTATCATATTTACATTTTCCTGTATTTGTTTTTTAAGTTTAGAAACTTTTAGAAATAAATTCTACAACAATGTGATGAATTAAAACTTCTAGAAAATCCTAATATGATATTTAAATCCAAGTTATCTCCTGTTGTAAAGCACAATCTAAAATATACTGTTTTTACATTTTTATTTATAATAATTTGAATACCATTGTTTTCTAAATTTATTATCATACCTGATGATATAACTAAATATTATTTCATTTCTCAAATATTTATGATCTATGTAATGATAGAGTTGAATTAAGAAAATATTTTCCAATCTGCTTGCATACTCATGCATCTAATTTATTTATGCATTTATGTGAACCAATAGGATTATTTATTTGTATATCATCAAAAAATAAGACAAGTGGTAAAATTATTTTATTTTTAGCATTTTTTATAATAGATTGTCAAAATTTACTTTGAATAATTGACAAGATAATAATATTATCATCATCACATTATTTAATATGTGCAGTTATTTTAGAAAAAAACATTTGGCATTTCTAGAAATTGTTTTAATACTCGTTTTATAGGTATTACAATAATTTTTCTATGACATAACACAGATTTTCGATTTTTGTCTGACAAAATGTTAAAGATGTGTATATTTTTATAATTAACGGAAATATTGAGCAGTTTATTTTTTATAAATATTAAAATGTTAAATGCTCAGTTTTGAAATTGTCAAATACATTTTCTATTAATTGTAATATACTTTATAAATTATGAACATGTTTATATATTGTTTTCAAAAATACTAAACAAGTGTAATTATAAAATGATGAAATGTTTAAAATAATTTTGTGTATTGTATTGCGATTTAAAATATCAGTATATAGTTTTGGTATAAGATGGGTAGCAGATTTCTCTTTTGTTCTAATCTTTAAATTCTAATATATCAATTTCACTATTTTCATTACAGGTAGATGACATTATTTCAATAATGTTACAATGCTCTTTATGAACATTACTAGTATTACCATTATTTGTATTAGTTAGTAAAACATTTCTATCAATTTTTTGCGCTATATTTCTTTTACATGTTAATTGTAAATTACGATCTTTAACATGTTTAAACAAAATGTGTCTTTTTAAGGAATATATATTGTTATATATTTGAAAACAGTTTTCGAAATTATATTTAATTTCTAAAGGCATAAACAATTTATGTTTCAATTTTATGTGTACCATTAAATAATCTATAGATAATAATAAATGTGAACAAAACATACAACAAAATATTTTGTAATTGTTAAAGTTTTTTAATTTAATGAAACTATAAATAAATTATTTTTTAAATCATTTTTCAACTTCGAGCTTTTCTGATATACTTTCTGATATACTTTCTCTTACTGGAATGAACTGAATTTCATTTTCAAACGTTTTTATAATGTATTCACTATTTGAAATAATATGTCCCACTTTGTGAATTTATAAATACAGTTTTGTATTAAAAACCATATATGCTCACTTGTTATTGGATAACTTAGTCCAAGAACATGAAATACCTTCAAACAAATATTGATAGCTTTCATAGTATTTGAATTTTTTTGAACGTTCATTGAACGTTGTACAAAATATCATCAACAGACATATGAATTCTTGATAATCTTTAATGAAGATCAACAATAATTATATATGATCGAACTGTTAACTTCAATTCTTTACATCTTTTTATTGTTTTTTTTTCTTAATCTTGTCATATCACCAGGAATCTATAAAATAATTATCTGTATAAAAATACTAATGTTAAAAAATACAAAATATGAGAATATCCGTGGCTATACGTAACTATAATATGGCTTCTCTTATGTTATTCATATGCTTTTAATTTATAAAATAAACTTTATAAAATAAAATTGAAATAATATAAGAAAAAAGTATAATGCTAACCACTGCATGTTTTATTATGTTATCTTTTGCGTTCCATATAGATGGCTTCCAAAATCTGTTATTGCATCTTGTCATTTTCTTTGGGGGAACCAAATGTGACAATATCATAATTTGTAAAGCAATCTTTAAATCTAAGAAAACAAAAAAAATAAAAAATGTATGCATTAAGAAATTTACATTTTATAGAATAGAATTACATTTAAAAGTTTATATTAATACATGGTTTAGAATCAAAAGTGTTATTTATAAAGTTTCTTTACCGTTATTAATATCTTCATCTCGTAATATTTCTAAAATATTGACATTGTCATTCCTATGATTTAAAGTTATTAAATTTCTGATGTGTTGGACAAAATTTTTTTCAATTATTTATCGTTAGTGTTTCTTTAGATAAAGACATATGTTTGAAATTTTCATTTATTAGAAAGTGGCTCTTTGAATGTTTTAAAATAGGTCATTGTGTTAAAATATCAACTAAAGTATTCTCCTTTGAGGTTTCAATATTTCTATGTCAAATATGAAATGTCTTATTCTAATGCTGAAGTATTAATGACGCTTGATTCTTTTTCAACCATTTTATCTCGATTTTCATTTCGGAATCCTCTATTACATCTAAATACAAGTGACATAAACTAATGTATGCAACTTAAATAAGTGACAAAATTATATACATTATTATTAAAAAATTATTGTTATAATTCTGTGTTGCAATAGCTTCTTTTACTAATCCTTCGAATCTTTTATTTCTAGATGAGCAATTTCTCCATATACTGATTATCTTACCTTGCGCAAGTATAAATTTATTTAAAATAGAATCTTTTCTTTTAATAGGTGGAATGTAACAAGTACTAGATTTTAGCAACTATCATATTGTCGGAAATTCAGCAACTATCATATTTGCAATATATTCTGCATTCTCATTTTTTACAAATAAATGATT